TTCTGTGATCCCAAAACGTGTGGTGATTTCTGTGATCCCAAAACGTGTGGTGATTTCTGTGATCCCAAAACGTGTGGTGATTTCTGTGATCCCAAAACGTGTGGTGATTTCTGTGATCCCAAAACGTGTGGTGATTTCTCCCCACTAGCAGATCTGTAAGGGAAGGGGGCACCAGCTGAGTGTCCTCTAATTTGGTTCAATTCTAACATTATTTTCCTGGCGAGAGCATCAGATCTCACAGTTTAAGGACTCAGTCCTGTAAGACTGCCCCCCGTACAGATACCAGTCCTAAGTTCTAGCCTCCAGAACCTCTGACTGACCAGCAAAGTTGGGGTTCCCACAATGTTCCCCTCCTCAGGTTCATTTAATTTGCTAGAGTGGCTTGCAGAACCCAAGGAAACAATTATAGTTACCTGGTTTGTTATAAAGCATACTCAAAGGATACAGACAAAGAGATGTTCAGGGTAAGGCATGTGGGAAGGAGATGGAGTGCCATGCCCTCGCTGGGAGCACTACCCTCCTGGAACCTCTGTGTTGTACTGTCTGGAAGCTCTCTAAACCCTGTCCTTTGGGTTTTATTGAAGTTTCATTGTATAGGCATGAAGGCATAACTGATAAATCATTGGTGATCAATTTAACCTTTAGCTGCCTCCCCAGAGGTTGGATGGTGGGTCTAGAACTCCTGCTCCTCTAATCCAGACTGAAAGCAACCTAGAGGTTGCCAGCTACCAGTCAACTCATTGACGTAGAAAAAGACATTTATCACTTTGGAGATTTCAAGCATTTTATGAGTCAAGTTGAATAGGGGTGAAGACCAAATATATATTTCACAACATCATAACCTTTAATATACAACTGGAATTTTAAAAATTTTATTGAGCCCAAGGAGTTTATCAGTCTGAACTTTTCTCATTCCTACAGGAATCAGGATGGACCCTCACAGACAAGGCAGTAATAGCATCATTCCTAACAATGTAAGTTCAGAAATGTATGGGGGTAAATTATGTTCATGGTTATGGTCCAATTGTGTAAATATTTTTAGCATATCGCTCTAGGATAAGTGTCCTTGACCCTTGCTGCACGTCAGAATCATCTCTGAGACAAACAAACAGAGACCTCTAAACCCTCCCAGGTCTAGTGAAGCAGAATCTTTTTTTTTTTTTTTTTTGAGAGCTTTTTTTCTATAGGGGGCACTGCTTTTTGCTATAGGGTGCATGTGCTCTCCAGACAGAGACACAGAGACAGAAAGCGAGAATTCACCCCCCAGGGGGGATGGTCACGCCGCAATCCCTTCCCCTCCGTTCTCCTCTCGGGATCTTGGGCACACATGCACGCGCACCCGGCGTGAGTTCTAAGCCACCGGGTCCAGAACGCGAACTGCAATCGACTACGTGGGAGTCCAGTGACACAGCCATTACGCTAACTGCTGGTTCCCCTGTTTTCTCTTTCTTGTGTACTCTACTTTCTGAAAGATTTCATTTTGTACTATAAATCCTCTATCCGGTAAATATATTCAAATATATTTTAAATGTATTCAACCACATTTTAATTCCTGTAAACCTGATCTTATTCCTTCTTTTGCAGCATCTTATTCTTTCTTCCTAAATATAATATTTTCCTTATATTTTCAAGAATTATGTTTTTAAAAAATTGGAGGATTTTGTTTATTTTTTTCTAACTCATTTTTGTTTTTAATTTGGTAATGGACTTTTACGTTAGAAGCTGTCATCAAATGTCTGGTCATGTTTTTTTTTTTGGAGAGATTTTTCACTGTAGGGCACGTGCGCTCGCCAGACAGACAGAGAGAGACATAGAGACAGAAAGCGAGAAATCACCCCCCAGGGGGGATGGTCACGCCGCAATCCCTTCTCCTCCATTCTCCTCTCGGGATCTTGGGCACGCACGCACACGCGCCCGGCGTGAGTTTTAAGCCACCGGGTCCGGGACACGAACCGCAGTCGACTACGTGGGAGTCCAGCGACATAGCCATTACGCTAACTGCTGGTTCCCTGGTCATGTTTAAAGTGAGGCTTTATAAAGGAGCTTGGGGAACCAGCAGATGGTGCAGCAGTTACAATGCTGGATTCTCACATGACCGACCGCTGTCCAAGTCCTGGACTTGGTGGCTTCGCAATCACTCCAGGCACATGTGCATGCCTGCCTGAGATCTCCAGAGGAGAACAGAGGAGAGAAGGGATTGCAGTTTGGCCATCCCCTCTGGGGACTGATTTCTTACTTTCCATCTGTCTCTGTGTTGCTCTTTCTCTCTGGTGAGCATACACACCCTTAGGCAAAAACCTTTAAAAATAAATAAATGAAAAGAAGCTTAGAAAGTCTACACAAGTGAGCTTGTTGATTAGAAGACCTTAATGAGGGCAATTAAGTAGCAACCTACAAGTACTAATATCTGTGGGTCTCAGCTCAATTAGTTTCTCCTGAGAGTTCTCCATCATCTTTACCGGGGGTTATGAGCCTGGTTGTCAGTATTCTACCAGCCTGGTAAGGGAATGGGGCTGAAGGGCATCTCTCTGTTCAGCCTGTAGACTTTGACTTAATTCTTATTCCCTCACTCTTGTACATTTTTTTTTTTTTAATTGCTAGAGGGAGTGCATCTTGCTAGAGAGAAACAGTAAAGGGGTAGGGGGTGGGAGAAGCAATCCCTATTGGGACATGGTCTCTATTCCCTTCCCCATTTCTCCATCCTACCAGGATTCTTGGGCACACACCTGTCCAGTGTGTTTTTCAAGATACTAGGCCAGGACTCAAACTTCAGTTGGCCATGTAGAATTTGGCTCCCTTAACCACTAGGCTTTGGGGCTGGTCCTTAATGCCCATTTTCTTTTCTTTTTTTTTTTTTTTTGAGAGGTTTTCGCTATGGGGCGCGTGCGCTTGCCAGACAGACAGACAGAAAGTGAGAAATCACCCCCCAGGGGGGATGGCCATGCCGCAATCCCTTCTCCTCCATTCTCTTCTTGGTATCTTGGGCAAGCACGCATACGCGCCCAGCGTGAGTTTCAAGCCCCCAGATTCGGGACGCGAACCGCGGTCGACTACGTGGGAGTCCAGCAACATAGCCATTACGCTAACTGGTGGTTCCCTTAATGCCCATTTTCAATATGGCTGGGTGCCTATTCCCCACCCTCACTTGAAGAATACTTTTCTCAAGCCTCACATTTCAACCTTTCAGTTTCCCAGTATGGGTTAGAATGGCTTCATGTGCTGGGAGAGCTGAGCAGGGGCTCCAGCACTTACATAGGTTTCCTTGTGAGGTCCTCCATGTCTGCTGGCACTCAGCACCTTTGCTGCCAAGTACCTGATGGCTGCTTAGGTCTTGTGGTGCAAACACATTACACCTAGTGCCTTTCCACCTGAGCAGCTTCTCAGCATCCTGCCTTTTCTACTTACATCTTATCTACTGTTGTGTCCTCCCATTCTCTTTCACCTTATCAGTTTATACCTTCATACTTTATTTTTTCTTTTGTAGAGATTTTTGCCTTAGGTCATGTGCACTGATTGGGGGGGGGAGAGACAGAGACAGAGAGACAGTGAGAAGTCACTCCCCAGGGACGATGGCCACACTGCAATCCTTTCTGCTCCATTTTCCTGGGATCTTGGACACGCATGCACATGTGCCTGGTGTGAGTTTCAAGCCACTGGGGTCCAGTGGGAGTCCAGTAACGTAATTGCTACTCCATCTGCTGGCCCCATACCTTCATACTTTAAAAAAAATATTTTCTGATCATTTGAATTGAATGTGTGGAGGAATTCCCAGAAATATGTTTGGTCTACCATGTTTAATAAAAAATCTCAGGATTTATTTCTTCTTATTTTATATAGTTCTATTAATAGTTAGGTTGAGTGTTAGATTTTTAAAGCAAAGAACACATTAGAAACACTGAAACATGGAGCCATTGGAATGAAATAAACCTAGGTTCAAACTCTAGCTCTGCTATATACCTGACCATAAGTATACTACTTAAGTTCCCTGAGTCTCATTTTCTTCAACTCTAACACAGAAGTAATATCCAACTTAGAGAATTCTTGTGAAGATTAAGTGAGATACAGGATTTATAAACCATAGCAACATGTGTTTGTCTATAATGTTTTTGACTATCCTCATTATCTTTTTTTTAAAATGGGGGGTTGGGGGCCAGCTGGGCCGGTGTAGTGGTTAAGATAGCTGATCCCACATGACTGACTTTGTGGTTCGAGTCCCAGACCTGATGGCTTGAAAAACATGCTGGGCATGTTTGTGCACATACCCAATATCCCAAGAGGAAAGTAGAGAAGGGATTGCAGCAGAGTCATTCCCCCAGTGGTGCTTTTTCACTCCGCTTCTCCCCCCCCTTCCCCCCCCCCCCCCCCCCCCCCCCCCCTCCGTCTCTCTGCTGAGTACACACTCCCTGTAGCAAAGGGGAAAAAAATGGATAGGGGGCACATGCGCTCACTAGAGAGACACAAAGAGAAAAGAAGGCACCAGCCATGAGGAACGATCATGCCACAATTCCTACTCCTCCATATCTCTAACCTCCAGGATTTTGGTCATGGATGTACACACATGTGGTGTGTTTTTCAAACCACCAGATCCAGGACTTGAACTGAATGATCTGCATGTGGGATTCAGTTTCCTTAACTGACAGGTAACAGACTGGCCTCATCATCCTCATTTGTTAATAGTAGAACTGGGACCAGCAGATGTAGTGGTTATATCACTGGACTCCCACATGGCCGACTGTGATTCAAATTCTAGACCCAGTGGCTTAAGACTCATGCCAGTCATGTGTGTGTACATGACCAAGATCCTGGGAGGAGACTGGAGGAGAAAGGATTGCAGTGTGGCCATGCCCCCTGAGGAGTAATTTCTCACTTTCCCTCTCTCTGATTCTTCCTCCCTCCCTGCACACATACCTTACAGCAAAAACCTCTTAAAAAAAGAAAAAGAAAAAAAAAGCAGGGTCCAGCAGATGGCTTAATGGTTACATTGTTGGACTTCCACATACTTGCATTGTTGGATTCCCACTTACTTGCACTGTTGGACTCCCACATAGTTCACTGTGATTCAAATCCCAGACCCAGCAACTTGAAACTCATGCCAAGTGCCGTGTACCCAAAATCCCAAGAGGAGAATGGAGGAGAAGGGATTGCGGAGTGGACCTCCCACAGGAAGTGATCTCTTGCTTTCTATCTCTGTGTCTGGTGAACACCTGTACCCTTTACCAAAAATCTCTCAAACAAAAACAAAAAAAAGCACTATCACTAATTAAGGCAAGTTCAGGACATGTTATGAACAAGTATCCTTAGAGCCATGGCATATTATAAGAGTTGACAATAAAGGTAAGATAGAAAAATTACAAGACCCAGGTAACTAAAAAGGAGCAGCAATATTGGGGTATTTGAATAAATACTATTAAAGTTCAGTAGACCTGTAGGTATTGCTGCATAGTAACTGCTGTTCGCACTGATGACTTGATGTCAGAATGTTTAAGTGTGTTCTTTACAGTGTGTTTAAGAAGGCAAAGAAGGGAACCAGCAGTTAGCATAATGGCTATGTCGCTGGTCTCCCACATAGTCGACCGCGGTTCGTGTCCCGGACCCGGTGGCTTAAAACTCACGCCGGGCGCGTGTGCGTGCGTGCCCAAGATCCCGAGAGGAGAATGGAGGAGAAGGGATTGCGGCGTGACCATCCCCCCTGGGGGGTGATTTCTCGCTTTCTGTCTCTATGTCTCTCTCTGTCTGTCTGGCGAGCGCACGCGCCCTACAGTGAAAATCTCTCAAAAAAAAAAAAAAAAAGAAGAAGGCAAAGAAGAAGGTAATTAGGAAGATTTCTTATCCAAAATATTTAGCACTAAAGAATAATGATATGGGACCAGCAGGTGGCATGGTGGTTAAGGTGCTGGACACTCCCACGTAGCCAACCATGGTTCAAGTCCCAGACGTGGTGGTTTACTTTCTCACGTTCTCTCTCTCTCTGTCTTTCTCTAGTCAAATTAAAAATAAAGTAATAAATAAAGTTAATTTTTTTAAAAAGAGTAATGATACATATATGTATTAAATCTTTTTTATCTCTATGGAAAACTCAGTCATACAGAATAATTAATTTGCTTGAAGAGCTCCATATTAACTGAGATTTTAATTTTAAGAGTCCTCAGATCCTTAGTACACATTTCTGACCTTTGTTAAGAAAATTTGACCAGAATGTTAAATGCAGTAGCTTTGGCCTTTCTTTTGTAACCTGTTTACTTGTAATACTAGCTATCACTTACAAAAATGTAGATTTTTTTTCCTCAAATTATACTTTCCTTTTCCTTTTCAGAACTGGTCTTTTGAGCATGGATATTAAGAAAAAAAGAACAATCCAATAGAAGTTAAGGGTATAATTTTTTTTAATGAGAGATGGAAGAAAAGAGAGGGAGAGAAAGGGATAAAGGGGGAGAAAGAGAAAGGTATTTTTGACAGTCTTGCTCAGTTGTCATCCTCCTGCCCCAGCCTCCCAATTAGCCAAGATTATAGAGGCTAGCATTCATGCCCTGTATGTTCACATTGGCCTGGAACCAAACCCAGGCCTCCCATGCAACTTCTAGCCTCCCAAGTGGTGGCATTGTCTGTCTTGCTATGGCCAGGTCAAGAATGTAATTTTAAAATGTTTTATAGTTTGCTAAACTTATTTGCAAAAGCACTTAGATTGTAGGTTATTTTGCTTATTTTTTTTAACATGTATTTCTTCTTCATTGAATATTGTTTAATACAATAAACTATTTCATTTCTTGTAGATCAGTGATACAGTAAACAGTGCAAAAATGGAGCATACAGCCATGAAAGGAACTTCAGCGAAAAACAGACTAGACCATAAAGCATCGATGGATTCTAATGCCATTTTACTTTCATCTTTGGCATCTAATGCTTCTAATCATAATAGTTGTATGATGGATGTGCGAAGGAAAAGTGAAGGTAAAATACAGCATTTTAAACAAAAATAAAGCTTTTTATAAGTTTTAGAATTTTAGTCACTGAAAAAGTAAATGTTAATAGAGTTTCCATTCATTTGACTCATACCATATTGAACCTAATTATTGTGATGTCAAAATACCACAGGAATATATGAATGGTAATGAATAGTTATAAGCTATAGAATTTAAATGAGGCAAATTCTCATGACAGTGGAGATTCACCTGTGTTCAATATTACTATCCCATTACACCACTTAGGACTTATAATTATCTGAAATTATTTATTTTGGGCAGGAATTTTGTCTGTCTCATTCACCTCTATTTCTTCAGTACCCAGATCCATGCCTGGCAAATAGTAATCACTTACTACATATTTCTGTAGCAAGTAACTGGATTATCCTCAAAAAGATAGTTCATTTCTGAGAACTGCTAATTAGCTCATTGCATTTGTAAGACAGCTTAAAATGTGGTGATCCTATTATTTGAATATTCTGATACCGTATGAGATGTATTAAGTATAGCTTTGGACTTCAATACCTAGATTATTTTATCAAGCTCATTCTGACATATCCCTGACATAGGAACATGTGACCTTATATTTAATTTGAAAAAAATCATGACAACTGATAATCTAATGTTCAGTGATTCAAGAAGAAGGTGGATATTCTTTTTTTCTTTCTTTCATATTTTTTTCCCCAAGAGGTTTTTGCTATAGGACACATGTACTCGCCAGAAAGGCAGAAGAGAGACAGAGAAACAGGAAGTGAGACATCATCCCCCCCAAGGGGGGAATGGCCACGCCACAATCCCTTCTCCTCCATTCTCCTCTCGGGATCTTGGGCACACATGCACACGCGCCTGGCGTGAGTTTAAGCTACCGGGTCCGGGACTTGAACCGTGGTCAACTACGTAGGAGTCCATCGACATAGCCATTATGCCAGCTGCTGGTCCCACCAGTGGATATTCTTTTATTCCCATTTTACATTATGAGTCTATGATAGGTTAAAAAAATTTAAGCAGTTTATCATTTTTCTCAATTTGTTACCTGTGAAAAGGAGAGCTCTTTTATTTTACTGACTCCCAATATAAGGTAATTGGTCATAATTGGAAATGCTTGGTCATAGTCTTCAATTTAAACATCTTTCTTACAGTGATTTTTTTTTAAAAGATGTTTATCTTACAAAGAAGTTTATAGCATTTGTAAGACAGCTTAAAATGTGGTGATCCTATTATTTGAATATTCTGATACCGTATGAGATGTATTAAGTATAGCTTTGGACTTCAATACCTAGATTATTTTATCAAGCTCATTCTGACATATCCCTGACATAGGAACATGTGACCTTATATTTAATTTGAAAAAAATCATGACAACTGATAATCTAATGTTCAGTGATTCAAGAAGAAGGTGGATATTCTTTTTTTCTTTCTTTCATATTTTTTTCCCCAAGAGGTTTTTGCTATAGGACACATGTACTCGCCAGAAAGGCAGAAGAGAGACAGAGAAACAGGAAGTGAGACATCATCCCCCCCAAGGGGGGAATGGCCACGCCACAATCCCTTCTCCTCCATTCTCCTCTCGGGATCTTGGGCACACATGCACACGCGCCTGGCGTGAGTTTAAGCTACCGGGTCCGGGACTTGAACCGTGGTCAACTACGTAGGAGTCCATCGACATAGCCATTATGCCAGCTGCTGGTCCCACCAGTGGATATTCTTTTATTCCCATTTTACATTATGAGTCTATGATAGGTTAAAAAAATTTAAGCAGTTTATCATTTTTCTCAATTTGTTACCTGTGAAAAGGAGAGCTCTTTTATTTTACTGACTCCCAATATAAGGTAATTGGTCATAATTGGAAATGCTTGGTCATAGTCTTCAATTTAAACATCTTTCTTACAGTGATTTTTTTTTAAAAGATGTTTATCTTACAAAGAAGTTTATAATCTGAAAACAAATATAAGTTTTGAGATTTCAGGAGCTAATGGCTTCTAAACCCTGTGCTATGCTACAGTTTAAGGAAGGTTAACATTAGGCACGTGGGAAACTGGTTGTGCGCGGCAACGGTGCCTGGCACTTAACAGCACAGTCGTGTCACTGAATGGCTGCCCGATCTAAGGTTAGCAGGAGAACTGGTCTTTTTCTCCACAGGTTGGAGTAGCTGCCGAAGAATATGTTTCAAGCAGTAGAGGAATAATATGATTAGATTGCCTATTTTTTTTTTTTTTAAAGAATACCCTATGTTCATATGACTATGTTATCAGTGAGAAGCATAGTAGGAAATGATGTTAGAGGACTTGTTTGGGGTAATTTTAGAGCTCCAGGACGTATAGGATGAAGAGGTGAGAATACATTGTTTTAGATACTTTTTTTTTTTAAGACAATTACATTTATTAGACTTGGCAACTGACTGGACATGAGAAATGAAATGAGTTCAGCGTGACTCCCAGTTTTTTGGGTTTGGACATCAGAATGGATAATAATGTTGTGGAATGAATGAATATAAGTCATGGAAAAAATAACTTCAGAGAGGAATATGCGGTCAACTTTGTTTATATTGTAGAAAAGTCAAATAAATGAAAACAGAAATGTATCCCTTAGAAATCACTGTTTGTGGGGCTGGCAGGTGGTATGGTGGTTAAGGGCACTTGACTCCCACATGGCCGACTGTGGTTCGAGTCCCAGACCTGGTGGCTTGCTTTCTCACTTTCTCTCTCTCTCTGTCCTCCTCTGACCAAATGAAAATAAATAAATAAATAAACATTAAAAAAATTAAATTAAAAAAAGAAAAAGAAATCACTCTTTGCCAGAGCAGCAGTGTGCTAGAAACTGAATTTGGGAGAGGTTAAGGAAGTAGAAACTACTCTGAAGGGACTTAGCAAGTGGGAGGCAGTACCTGGAAGAGACTTCTAGAGTCAAGGAATATGTGTGCATGTTTGCTTCAGAGATTTTTGATGTTTATGGGGGTGAGGACCAAAAACTACTGAAGATTTATGAAAACCCGAAAAGAAAGGAATGCTTGATGAATGAGGGTCCCACGATTTGAGGAAGGAATGAAACTGCCCAGGAGGACAGGTTTAACTCCCTTAGGAGAGAGGCCTGCTCATTCTTTGAAATGAAAGAGAAACTGAGAATTCATTCATGACTGTGACTGCATTTTTAGTTTGGGGCAGGAGAAGGCAGAAAATGGAAGGATTTCATGCTCAGTGGTCTCTATCTTATTTTTTGCTAAAATGAGAGGCAAAGCCGATGATCTGTGATTTAGTAGATAGTTCAAGAACAGTGTTTAGAATCGAAGAGGAGTTAGCTAAGAAGTTGGAGATATGCATTATGGATATAATAAAAACTTTATTTTTCAGAACATTTTATGCCTAATGGTTAATTCATACTGATGCCATTTGGGGTACTCATGCGTATGGTTTTAAGACCTAAAGTACTAAGAATTATATGACAAGAACTATAGGACACAATAATTATCAGCAACTATCATATTAATAACCGATATTTTCCCTTTTATTTTAGGTCCTCACACTTCAGCAAATCTAGGTGTTTTAAGTAGTTGCCTGGATGTAAGAACAGTAACCCCTGAAACTTCCATATCCAGTACTGTGTCCAGCCCACAAACTATGGTAACCCAGCAGACCATTAAAACGGAGTCATCCAGTACAAATGGGACAGTTGTTAAAGATGAAACTTCACTAACAACATTCAGTACCAAATCTGAAGGTTTGAGATGTGTTTCACATATTGTATTTTGATCTATTTCTGTATATAAATTCATCAGACTTGTCTTAGAAATAACATTTCATCTTGGATTTAATTATATATAAGCAGATAAAACATTTAAATTAAAATAATTATGTAAAATGTTCTCTGCTGCCTTACATAAAATATTTAGATTAGTACACTATTAAATTTCAAACAGCTGTATCTTCCCTACCGTGAATAAATTCAGCGAACTTTTTTCCTTCCTTAGAAGGATTGGGACCTGCAAATGGTTGGTAATGGTTATGTAGCTGGACTCCCACATAGTTGACTATGGTTCGAGTCCTGGACCCAGCAACTTAAAAACTCACGCTGGGGATGTGTGCATGTGTGCCCAAGATCTGAGAGGAGAATGGAGCAAAAGTAATTGTGGTATGGCCATCTCTCCTGGGGAGTGATTTCTCATTTTCTGTCTCTCTGTCTCTGGCAAACACACATGCCTTCTAACAACAACAAAAAAATCTCTCAAAAAGAAAAGAAAGGATTGTAGACTACAGATTAGCAATCCTCCCATCTTGTTTGAGAATTTCTGATTTTATAAATTGTTATTTTGCAGTAGGAATTGTGTTTTATCTTTAGTAAATATTCTCTGAAGTTCTAGCTAGTCATCAGATCCTCAAAAAATGAACTTTCTGAATTATTTTTAAAGGGTTTGTATTTTTTTAAAGAATTATTTAATTTTATGTTCTATCATTCATTTATTTTTAATTTGATCAGAGAGAGACACAGAGAGAGAGGAAAAGTGAGAAAGTAAGGCACCAGGTCCGGGACTCAAACTGTGGTTGGCCATGTGGGAATGTCCAGTGCCTTAACCACCATGCCACCTGCTGGTCCCCAAAGGGTTTGTATTTCTAATGATAGTGATTTTTTCCGTTTGGCTTTTTTTTTCCCAATTTTTTTTTATTGTGGTAAAATATACATAATATAAAATTTACCATCTTACTATTTTTGTTGTGGTATGCATGTGTATGTGTGGTATTTTAGACAGGGTCTCATGCCACGATCCTCTTACCTCAGCCTCCCTAGCCTCTGGTCATGTACCACCACAGGCATGTGCCTCTGTACCAAGCTCATTAGAGTAGGCCAGGAATTGAACCTGGGCCTCCCATGTGGCCTCAGCCCTGCAAGGCAGCAGCATTCAATGTGCACTATCACATCCAGGCCACATCTTACCACTTTTAAGTGTACAGTTTGGTAGTATTAAATATTTGTACATTTGTAAATTATATTTTAATGTGTCTGCTTGATAAGTAATTAGTGTTATCTGACGAATTATTTAATTTTCAGTTGATGAAACATGTGCACTACCAGCAACTAAGATCAGCCGTGTAGAGATGCATGCTGTAGCAATGCCATTTTCTGTAAGTACATGACTTGGCAATTATGCATGTTTATAGATGATTTGTGCTTATAAATGCTGAGTAACTTGTGAGTGAATTCATAAAGAGGTTCTTAGGCCTTATTTAGTGATAAATTGACATTTCTAAAGAAATGATTGAACAGGAAAATGTTCGCAGTATGATGTTTAGTAAAAAAAGCTAAGCAAAAAATAACTTACATGCTGTGGTCCCAATTTTGTTTAAAGAACACATGCAGTATATATATTCACACACTTACATGCACCCATACACATCCACACTAAAATATTAGACAGCTCTCCAGATGGGAAACCACAGATAATTTTCCTTCCATGCTTTCTATATTTTTCCATAACGAAATGTGTTACACTTATAATCAGATATGTATGTGTTTGTGTGTATTGGGGAGGGGGGTCTTCAAAATATTCATGGAAGATGTGTATCATGAAGAAACTATGTGTGAACTTCAAACATTTTTATACCAAAATAGTTTTTCATTCCATTTTCCATGAACTTTTTTGAAGTCCCCTTGTACATACTCACATACGTGTGTGTATACATGTAAATTACATTGATGGTTAACAGATAGGATGTCTTACTAAACAGAGAACTGACATGGCTCTATTGCTAGCTATAAGAGTGTAACAGATTATTGTGATTGGGCTGACATACACATACGGTAGCCCAGTAGTCTCTGGGATTGGGGGTTTTATGGAAGGCCATGATTGGCCTTCACATTCAACGTGCCAGGAAAGTGCCTTACAAATATACCAAGGTTGTCGTAATTAGATCAATGTAAGGATAAAATATACACATATGTTCATATATATATACACATGTACTCTTGGAAATTTCTTATTAGTCATTTCAACTTTGTTTTAGGCAAGAGTTTTTATTTGACCTAATACTTACGTTTTAGAATCTTTAGGAATTATTTACAGTTTAGCTCTCTTTCACTGTTTTATAAATTTTAATAATATATTTACCTTTAGCCACTTTCATCTTTCCAGATCGTTAAGTCTTAGTGTTCTTAGATTTTTCTCAGGGAAGGATTATTAAAATGAACTTTCTTCTTTTGAATCTGTTTGCAGTGCATCAGCCCAAATTGTACTTGTTATGTTAGACGGAGCCAGTTGTTTTATAAAAGTTGTTGAAGAGTTTTTACAACTTTAAAAGATAAAACAAGTTTAAAGTTATTCCTTTCTTTTTTTAACTTTAAAACTCTCTAGTTAGCTCACTTTGTCATGTGTGATAGCCTAAATAACAAAAAATGTGAATTATAAGTATGTACCTCTGCTGTTATATATTTAAGACAGAAATAAATAACTGAAGTGCACATTTGTTTTGAGCTTCTGGAAACAGTGTCTCATTTATAAAGAAGATGGCTTTAAAAGGTTAGTTCCAGGGATAAGTATAATTCACTTATCACTAAAACTAGCTTAAGGTAGAGGAAGTTTGTTTGTTTTAAAGTAGGGTGAAAAATGTAAGACTGTTTAATCTATTCCTCTTTAGTATATACCATAGTACATTCAAATTGCATTTTAGTTTTGAACATTTTTTCTCCTTTTAGGTTTGGAGAATCACAGGTATTTCAAGTGCAAAGATCACTGAATTTCTGCTAGTTGTTTTCAAATCTAGAAATAAGCCAGCTTGGAATGAATTTTTCTTTATTTGCTCCTCTTGGAGCCAGTTATAGTGTCACACTAAAGGGATTACATTTTCCAAGAGAGTCTCTGAAATGACGATGTTCTATAAAACAGTTGGCATTTTAGCTGTCACTGATCGGAAAGCATGCTAACTCCAGCTAGGTTGATTAGTTTAGAGCTACTGACTTGGAGAATGCCTGTCACTCCCTGTGTATGAATTGGCATCCCTGTCTCACTGTCAGTTTACCTAATCTGAAAAGACTTTATTTTTTGAGCTATTAATGTTGTGGTATTGATCCATATATCTACTTGTAGACCACTGCATGGATTGATTTAATCTTGAAATTGTTCATGTGCTCAGTAAGAGTCTTCATAAATTTTTCTTTCTCTGCAACTAGAAAGAGACTCCTTCAAATCCAGTGTCTACAGTGAAAGCAGGAGAACGGCAGTGGTGTGACGTGGGAATCTTTAAAAATAATACAGCTTTAGTAAGCCAGTTTTATTTGCTGCCAAAAGGGAAACAGAGCGTCTCAAAGGTAGTCCTTGATATATTTTCTGTATTGTGAATTATAAACCTTATGAGAGTTTTTTTTTATAACCCTGATTCAGGTCCCTTGGATGAAAAAGTTGGGATCTGTCTATAATCTATAATCTGTAATCAAGAGTTCTGTATACCTAGTTATCCTGTTCTTTTGTTGTTTTTGATGGCTACACTGCAGTCCCTTCTGCTCTAATCTCCTTTTGGGATTTTGGGCATGCATACATGTGCCTGGCGTAATTTTCAGGCCACCAAGCCGCTGGGTCTGGAACTTGAACTTCACAGTCAGCCACATGGGATCGAGTGCCTTAACTTACAGGCCTTTATTCTTTTTTTTTTTTTTTTTTTCTCCACTTGGCCTGGGCCTAGAAGCGTGGAGACAACCGCAACCCACCTAGGTCTATATTCTTTATCAAGGTTCCTTTTTTTTTAAGAATTATTTTTATTATTTTAACTTTTTAATTTATTTACTTTAATTTGACCAGAGAGGAATGGAGTAAGAGACAGAGGGAAAGTGAGAAAGCAAGCTGTCAGGTCCAGGATTCAAACTGTGGTCAACCATGTGGGAGTCCAATACCCTTAACCACCATGCCACCGGCCAACCCCTATTGAGGCTCTTTTTACAGACTATGTCACAAACATATCATTTAAAAAAATCTTATATAATCACTGAGCTGGGTTTTGAGTCATAAATAACCTGATCTGACTAGCACTGATGAAGATCGTTAAAATACCTCTATTTTTGTTACTTAATATACTTAGAGAACGGACCATTTTTTCTCATTGAGGGATTCTTTTTAAATTCCTGATTTCACAATTAAGAAATCCAGAACCCCCTGTATGCTATTGAAAAATATACCAAATACTTGTGCATGCATGCCCAAAATCCTGACAGGATGTAGAAATAGAGAAGAGATTGTGGCATGACCACACCCCATTGGGGAGTGCTTTCTCCCTCTCTCTTTCTCTCTGTCCCTCTCTGGCAAACGTGCTTACCCTTTTGAAAAAAAGACAAACGAAGACTTCATATATATGAGAGACATTTTATGTGTGTGTGTGTGTGTGTGTGTTGTGTGTATTGCACGTATATATAATTGTGACATTAACCCTGTAAGATTATCAGATAAGTAGCATCTCCAAAGTACATTGAAATAATATTCTTTAGATAAAGACTTGCTGAGAGAGAATTGCCAAGGAAATAGTATTCATTTTTAATTTTCTGAAGATGTTTACAAGTAGAAAATATATAATTTATCATTATATTTTAGTTTCTTTACTATTATATCTGGTAACTCTTTTTAATATTGAATTTTTCCAATCTTGATAAAAATAGTTCTGGCTAATAATTTGTTACTGTTGGATTGTTGGGAAAGTCATGACTCATTTTTGCATAAAACTATATCATGACTTTTTTTTTTTTTTGAGAGGTTTTCACTATAGGGCACGTGTGCTTACCAGACAGACAGAGAGAGACAGAGAGACAGAAAGCGAGAAATCACCCCCCAGGGGGGATGGTCACATCGCAATCCCTTCTCCTCCATTCTCCTCTCGGGATCTTGGGCACACACGCACACGCGCCTGGCGTGAGTTCTAAGCCACCAGGTCCGGGACGCGAACCGCAGTCGACTATGTGGAAGTCCAGCGACATAGCCATTACGCTAACTGCTCATTCCCTATCATGACTTTTCTGACCCAATATTACGCCTAATGAAATTCCTCACCATAGTTAGATTTCATATATTAGGCTGGTATAAAAAAGCAAATTGTGGTTTTGGACCGAATATTTTAAATCACTTTTAAATTATAACTAGATTCAAACACATCTTTACTAATCAAAATAGGAACCATTACAACCAACCCATTTTTGCCAGTGAGAAATAAGTTTATTCCTGTTGTGTAAAAAATTCATGCTTTGGGATTCAGTGAACTTTTGGAAAGCATCTTCTGTATCCTGCTGGTTGCAAAAGTGTTCTCCCTGCAAAAAGTTGTCAAGATGCTTAGAAGAGGTGGAGTCGGTTTGTGAGAAGTCAGGTTAATATTGTAGATGAGGCAAAGTTCATAGCCCAGTTCTTTCCATTTTAAAAGCATTGTTGGGACATGCAGTCAGGCATTGTCATGGAGAAGAATTGGCCCTTTCTGTTGACCAAGGTCAGCTGCAGGCATTGCAGTTTTTGGTGCATCTCATCAATTTGCTGAGCATACTTCTCAGATGTAATAGTTTTTCTGGGATTTAGAAAGCCATAGTGGATGGAACCAGCAGTTAGTGTAAAGGCTTTGTCACTGGACTTCCATATAGTAGACCGTGGTTCGTGTCCCGGACATGGTGTCTTAAACTCACGCCGGGTGTGTGTGCATACATGCCCAAGATCCTGAGAGAAAAATGGAGGAGAAGGGATTATGGCATGGCCATCCTCCCTGGGGGGGTGATTTCTCATTTTGTTTTTCTGTCTTTTGGGCGAGCACACATTCCCTATAGCAAAAACCTCTCAAAAAAAAAAAAAAAATCAGGATTTTTCTGATGACCCAAGTTTGCATGGGAGTGGGATAATTGGTAATCTGTTTATAGTGGTTGTTAGTTTTTTCCGTGTGTTTATATAGTTCATGCATATAACATCCTTACGTTTCTTAACTTAATAAAAAAGCACATGCACTTGCTGAAGAGACACAGAGAGAGACAAGGAAAGTGAGAAAGTACTCCCCAAGGGGGAAGGTCATGCTGTAATCCCTTCTCCATTTCTCTCTTCTTTTGGGATTTTGGGTACACATGCACACACATAGCTTGTTTTTCAAACAGTGGAATCAGGGACTTGAACTGCACAGTCAGCCATGTGGGATCCAATGCCTTACCCACCATGCCAATGGCTGATCCCCTTATAGTTCTCTGTATAATCATCTCCACTGGAAAGGGCAGTAACAATCCTTGCTTTATGAACTTTGTTGCTTTAATATTAGAGGGCTCATTCCATGAGTGAGAAAGAAAGAAACATGAACTGGAACTTGAAAAATAATGTATTCTTTAAAAGTTGTGTTTAATAAAAAGAAATTAAAAACTGTGTTAACAAGTGAATTGTGCCTCATCTTTTACTTTTGCATATTTTACTTTTTAGGTAGGAAATGCAGACGTACCTGATTACAGTCTACTTAAGAAACAAGACCTTGTTCCAGGCACAGGATACAGATTCAGGGTTGCTGCAATCAATGGTTGTGGAATAGGTCCTTTCAGCAAAATGAGTGAATTTAAAACTTGTATTCCTGGTTTTCCTGGAGCTCCTTCTGCAGTCAGAATTTCAAAGGTGAGATTTCAGGTCAAGACTTGTTGGTGATTTATTAAATGAGTTGAAATTTTGTATATGATGTCAATTGTTAGTTTAGAAATTCTTGATATATCTAGAGTAAATTAAAAGTTTAAAGAACTCATTTTTTAATCACTCATATGATATTTTTAAGTACCAAATTTTAAGCAGAATTATAGCATATAAGTCACAGAAAGACGGGAAATCTTGTATTCTTCATAATACTAGCTTTGTCCTTATTTTGGAACCAAAAATTGGTGTTGTAGAATTTTAATAGAATGTGTGAAATTGGATTATATCTTATTCAATGGTCCTGCCCTTCCTTAGAGAATGAAAAATATCTGCTTTTAGAGAAGAAAAATTCCCTCTTTGTGATATTATAGACAGACATTTAAGTCTAGTTATATTGTTGAAAAGTGAGCATACACTACACTTTGTAGATCCAATTTAGGTAGGTTTTTAAAAACCAGCAATAAAGGGACCAGCTAGGAGCACACTCGCTCTATAGCAAAAACCTCTCAAAAAAAAAAAAAAATAAAAACAAAAAACCTAATATCTAATGTAATTACTTCAATGAAGAAGATAATTTTGTGTCCTATAAATAGACTCAATATAGAAAACTTAGTAACCTCGGGACCAGCAGTTGGCGTAAATGGCTATGTTGATGGACTCCCATGTAGTCGACTATGGTTCAAGTCCTGGACCCGGTGGCTTAAACTGATGCTGGGTGTGTGTGCGTGTGTGCCCAAGATCCCAAGAGGAGAATGGAGGAGAAGGGATTGCGGTGTGGCCATCCCCCCTTGGGGGGTGATTTCTCGCTCTATGTGTCTCTGCCTTTCTGGTGAGCACATACTCCCTATAGCAAAAACCTCTCAAAAAAAGAAAAGAAAAGGGACCAACAGTTAGCGTAATGACTATGTCGCTGGACTCCCACATAGTCGACCGCGGTTCAAGTCCCAGACCTGGTAGCTTAAACTCACGCCGGGCACGTGTGCGTGAGTGCCCAAGATCCTGAGAAGAGAATGGAGGAGAAGGTATTGCGGCATGGCCATCCCCCCTGGGGGGTGATTTCTCGCTTTCTGTCTCTCTGTCTCTCTCTGTCTGTCTGGCGAGCACACGTGCCCTATAGCAAAAACCTCTCTCAAAAAAAAAAAAAAAGAAAAGAAAAGAAAGAAAGAAAACTTAGTAACCTTAACCTGTTTGTTTCCTCTCTTCAAGAATGTTGAAGGTATCCATCTTTCCTGGGAACCTCCAACTTCACCTTCTGGAAATATTTTGGAATATTCAGCCTACTTGGCTATCCGCACAGCACAGATACAAGATAACCCAAGTCAGCTTGTGTTTATGAGGATTTATTGTGGTCTTAAGACATCATGTATAGTAACTGCTGGGCAACTTGCAAATGCACATGTAGATTATACATCCAGGCCTGCCATTGTGTTCAGGATATCAGCAAAGAACGAAAAGGGATATGGACCAGCTACACAAGTTCGATGGCTTCAAGGTAACAATAAGAAAGCACCTTTAAATTGAATTGTTTTTTTACTGAAGCTGTTGTGATGATTATTTATTAGTAACTGGTTATGAAGAGTTGTCATTTAAAAGGTATCCTCTGTCTGTATTTCTAGCATTTATGAATTTGAGTTTGTAAGTTCTTAAAATGTATTTGCTTAATTTTAGATCCAAATAAAAATAGAAAAGAAGCAAAGACTCTTTGAAAATTAGTATATGGGTTCTTCCTTCCAGGCATAGCTGTTTTTATAAAGAAAAATACTAAAATTAGGCTAAAAGCTAGAAGGCTTTATTGCCCTAATATATCTTATAAAGACTGTGTAACTCAGTCATCCTAGAGTTACTGAGATGATACTAATAACTGGCTGCTGTGCACTATGCCGTCTCTGTAGTTCTCTATCCTGTAAACACCCTATCTGCCAGTACTCCCTCTAGCTTTATTCTACATAAGCAGCGGTCCTCTAACAATTACCTTCTGCCAGATAATATTTGTGATACCAGTTCTGATTCCTTCCCTTTGTTTATTTACAGTTAGCATCGAGCTGGAAATTTAAAGAGGCAAGTTCAGAAACTCTGCTTCTGCATTTATTTCCTCTAAGAATCATGATAAAATACATGAAGTTAAAAGTTTTCTTAATTCTTACTGGGTCCATATATTTGAATATATTTCTGGCCAAAGCACTTAATTTATCTGGCCCTCAATTTTTTCATTAACAGATGAGGAAATTAAAACAGTTTACCTTTAAGGTTTCTGTCAGCACTAATGTTTTATATTTTCATCAGAAGTAAAGTATACTTGTGAACATTTTCATCTGGCTTAAAGGTTCTAACTTTGCTTCTGCTGAAATTAAAACTCTATAATTTAAAATTCAAAATTAAACCATATTTCTTATTTTAAAAGAAAGAAGCACCTTAACAGGACACAGATTTTGAAATCGTGTTTTAAACATTTGTAAGATTTTTGTAAATGCTCTAAATGTTTTATTTTTGCATTGTTTTTACCTTGAAATTGTATAAACTTTTGTACGATGGAAATAGAAGCAGCAGACAGCTAACTCAGGTTCCATTACAATCTTAAAGATGCAGATAGACGTTAAGAACACTGCTATAGGCAACTTGTTTTAAACCTTTTAGGAATGTCATGGTTTCACTGCCTGTTCTAATCTGGAGTGAATACACGGAGCAATAATTGCTGAAAAGATATTTCAGAATAAGAGCTGCAAATACTGCAGGGTTGCAAGTCTATCTTTCTTTATACCACATACCCTTAGGCCATTTTAGGTTGACTGAGTAGCTGTGTCTTCAAACTTCATGTATGATACCCCTGGCAAAGATGGATTGAATTGTGCAGAATTGATATATATGTGTGTTCCAGTTACTAATTTAAAGTGTATAGAATATTTTAATATATAATTTTTGTAAAGATCTGGGATTTTTATACTACAGTATTTGTAATTAATGTGTCTAAGTTTCTCTTGAAGAAAATATGCAAATTGTTAGACACATAATGAGTGGGTTCTGAACTCTAAAGATAAAGTAAATGCACTACTCCAGTGTTGTTAGAATACTTGTTTTGTGGCTGTATGAATCCTTAATCTTTAAATGTGTACTTTACAAACAATGTTTACAAGGAGCTTCTCTGGCTTGTTATCCCAGCAACACCCTTGGTGAGAGCTTCGGTCTGCATTTGTTTAACTCATATGCTTTGCTTTTGGCATATGCTTGCTTTTTGCACTAGTAGAATTTTAACTTACCTCATTATTATGTTTGTAATCATATGTATAGCTTCCGTAATGTGTCTGACATAGGCTAAACAAATACTTAACCAAAGTTAAAATAAATGGTAAGCAATTTTGCACATAATAAATGCTAGGGTTTGTTGTGTATATGTGTGTGTTTAGTTAAGAATAAAAGAATAAAAATGGAAAGTTATAGTAAGTGTATATTTCAAGCTACATTATATTAATGATCTCTTTGCTTTATTAGAAAAAGTCTGACTTTTAACTTCTTGTTTTCTGCATTAACAATTCACATCTTGAAGCACTTCTCTTAACAAGGAATAAGTTGACTTAAAACAAAAGATATATATTTTAAGTGTGTACATTTATACCTATTTAGTATTTTATTTAGTTTACTTTGCTTAAATGCCTCTACTAGTCTAGATTGGGAGGTGAATATGAACTGTAGTTCTAACATATGGCTTACTTTTCAGAGGGAATGGCAGACTCTCTACACCAGGAGGTTTGTTAAAATAATAAATGTTTTTACTTTGGGAATTAGCCTAGATTATGTTATATTTTTGACATTTATACATTAAGCACTAGTCATATTTATCTCCTTAATAAGGGATTGGTGACTGAAAGATGCCATTAAGAAATCTCTGTGGCTTTGGCATTAATGGTTAATAAGAGATCTTAGTGCTACATATTCATGAATTGAATGGATTGGAGTAAATAATAAGAGAAGTGCATTTAGCTTCTTATGGTTTGCTCATTTTAAAGTAAAGATCCCTTTGTGTAGCAGTAAGTTATATCATGCAGATATTTTTTCATAGGAAGATTTACACTGAGTTAAATTACTTTCTTTACTCTTCCCAGTTGGAGAAGCAATTCAGATGTAAGCCTTTGTGTCACAGTCGTCTTCCTGTTCTCTGCAACTTTCCTTCATAAAAGTAGTAAAACTATGTTTGATGTTGCATGCTCTTAACAGTTATGTTTTCTAAAATATTATATTGGCTTCATTTTACTTAAATAAATTTTTGGCAATTTAATTAGAAATAGGGCATATATAAACTCAATTTTGTATACATTTTTTAAAGAAATTGAATTAATCTGATTGCATGTGTGAGATACCTTTGCCCTTAACCAAGTTACATATACTCATCTATAGAAAGTGAAACTGTTGATTCCTTATTTCAAAGACTTGTAGACGAGCAAAAATTTGTCCTGATTAGAAATATGGTCTATTATAACTAAAGATATTTTTATTTTAAAAATTACTTGTAACATAAAAAATCATTTGTGACATTGGATACAAAGAGATTATTAGTATTTAAAATTATTGTAGTCCTTTGATCATAAATGAAGTAGATTGCAAAGTAGACTTGGTCTTTTACCTCTTAAGGTGTGACTGTTGTGTTTTCTAAGACTGATTTTAGGCAGTTTTTTTGTATCTTGTACCAATGATATGTAAAATAAAGCACCTTTTCTACTACAAGCAATTACAGGATGTAATTTCTTTTGAGCTACATGAAAGAAAAACTAGTAATGGCACAGTAAATCTGTAAAAATGTTGATTGTATACCATTCATTTAAAACAATACAAGCAATCTCTAAATTAAGAATGGATTATGTTTAAAAACTTGTTTTTAAGGTAATGGATTGCAATTGGGAGTCATTTTCTCATAGACAGCTAAAGCCTAAGGCCAGCCCATTAGTGGTTAAGGAAGCCAGATCCTACATGGCTGACTAGGGTTCAAATCCCAGTCTGGCGGCTTGAAAAACACTCCATGCATGTGAGTGTGTGCCCTAAATCCCCACAAGATAGACAAATGGAGGAGAAGGAATTGCAGCAGGACCATGTCTCATTGCAGGGGCACTCTCTCCTTCTGTCTCAGGTGAGCATACGTGTCCTCTGGCGACGGAAAAGAAGAAGAAAGAAATGTGAAGCCTAGCTAACCTTTATTGTAGCTGAACTAACATGCTTTAAAGTAAAAAGGGAAATATCTCTAAGAAATAGTCTGAACTTGTCTTCCATTTACTTTTCACCCTTTTAATTCACAGCAGCAGCGAGGTTGCTACTCCATTAAAATCTTTTATAAAGAGATTTTTGCTATAGGGTGCATGCACTCACTGGCAAGACAGCAAGAGAGAGAGAGTGACAAATCACTCCACGGGGGGATGGCCACGCCGCAGTCCCTTCTACTCCATTCTTCTCTTGGGATTCTGGACCCATGCATGTGCACCCATCATGAGTTTCAAACCGCCAGGTCCAGAACTCGAGCCACAGTCGGCCATGTGGGAGTCCAAAGCCTTAACCACTACTCCACCTGCTGGACTCCTCTCTCTCTCTCCTTTTATGCTCCTCCTCCTACTTGCCCTCTCCTTTTCCATTACCACCCTTCTCCATTCATTTTATTGTTTTTTTTTTCCTTTTTCTCCAAGATTCCTATCAAAGGTCGCCAACCTGATAAATCCTCTGCTGATATGCTCTACCTTCAGATAGATCTAACTACTACTTTTTGTGTTCCCCATCCCGTCCCTTGTTAAATCTTCTGTCACAGCAGTCTAACACCTTTATTTTCTTAGCGGTCAGAATTGTCTCTCTTGCTGATGGTAGCTCTTTGAGGCAGAGACCAAGTCTTTATATCTCTTCCATATTGGCCAGTTAGCTGTTATTTTAATATTTTTAAATATATTTTTACAAGTAAGTAAATTGTTACCTTTACAGCTTTTCCTGCTCCCACTCTTCACTCTCACATAGGTGCCGTAATGAGAAGGAGCTTTTGAAAGAGATTTTAGTAGAATAAGCTGCTGGAGGAAATGCAAAGTTTTTAGTTTTGTGTTACTTCACCCTGCTACTACTTAGTTCTGGGATATATGAGGATTTAGTGTGGTTGTACATAGGCCGCAAGAGGATATCTTTTTGTTTGTTTGTTTTTGCCATAGGGTGTGTGCACTTACCAGAGAGAGACAGCGAGATGAAAGAAATCACCCCCTGGTGGTGGGTGGCTACAGTCCCTTCTCTTCCATTCCCTTGGGATTTGAGACACACGCTCATGCACATGTGCACAGCATCATTTTCAAGTGACTGGATCCAGGGCTCAAACCTCAGACAGCCATGTGGGAGTCCAGTGCCTTAACTACCATGCCACCTGCTATCCCCAAGAGGATGTCTTTGATTTGAAAAGATCTTGGTATATAGTGAGATCTTAAATTGAGCATTGATGAATTATGATTTTTAAGACTGGATAATTGGGACCAGCAGTTGGCGGAAAGGCTGTCACTGGACTCCCATGTAGTCGACCGTGGTTCGAGTCCCGGACCTGTTGGCTTAAACTCACGCCGGGCGCGTGTGCGTGTGTGCGTGCATGAATGCCCAAGATCCCGAAAAGGGAATGGAGGAGAAGGGATTGCAGCGTGGTCATTCCCCCTGGGGGGCAATTTCTCACTTTCTGTCTCTCTGTTTCTGTTTTTCTTGGGAGTGCACATGCCCTACAGCAAAAACCTCTCCCAAAAATAGACTAGATAATCAAAATGAGCTAAAAATATGTCAGAATGCAATCTCTTTTCTGACACTAGGAAAAACCACCTCTTTAAGCATAGGGAGCTTCTTGGAACATGAACACCAGAAACGGAACTGCATCAGATTATTGTTATGTATCAAGTGAGGTCACTGTTGTCACATCTAAGCTTGTAGGACAAAAGATCCTCACCCTCAGGAAACAAGGTGACATTGGAATACCTGCCTTCTGACTGTCCCATTTGCCGCTGTGAGACCTATACTTACATATTCCTGTAATTTCAGAAAAGTTTTATTTTGACCATGCCTGGAAAAGCATGAACTATAGTATTCTGAGGGAGAAATAATATTCTGTAAACTGAGTGAAGAAAATGAAGGCTATAAAATTCAAGGATGTCAGCTACCTTGTCCAGAATAGACTTCCACGTCGTTATTTATATTACTTTGCTAATCTCCTGTGCTCTGAAGAAGTAAAATTTAAAACATGTTCACTTGTGGCCCTCAATCTCAGCAGGAGTCATCTGAAACTGAGCATGAGGTTCTTCTGTTTTATACCTTTGGTATTCTGTATTTGACTTGATCAAAGCTGCTCCTTAAAGATGATCAAATTCACAGTCTGGCTGCTATTCCCGCCAGTACTTAAAGTTTAAAAGCCTTAAAAATACAGGGTTTGGGGCCAGCAGGTTGCATAGTGGTTAGGGCACTGGACTCCCATATAGCCAACCATGCTTTGAGTCCCAGACCTGGTGGCTCATAACTCACACCAGGTGCATGTGTGTGCGTGCATGCCCAAAATCCCAGGAAGACAATGGAGGAGAAGGGGTTGCTACATGGCCATCCCCCCTTGGGGGTGATTTCTCACTTTCTGTCTGTCTCTTTAGTGAGCGCACATGCCCAATAGCAAAAAAAAAAAATCACTCAAAACAAAAACAAAAAAAGCAGGATACGGAGCTTTTGGCTTTGGGTAGGGAGAAGACTAGGAAGCTGTAGGCATGCTGCTGCGAAGGCTACAGGAGTATTCCTTCTTTACTGGTTTAATTTTGCTGTCCAGCAAGGTCTTTGAAGACGGCCTAGAAATGTC